CCCCCGGCGTCGCCGGCCAACACCCGGGGCCCCAGCCGCTCCGCGGCACGTGAGATCTTCCCGGACCGGGCCACGACCCCGTGTCCCCTGCATCGGCAGGCGGACTCTCAACCACTGCGCCACCAGGGAAGCCCACAACTTCTGATTTTTAAGAGCTCCACTTTCTCTCTTCCTCCTACGCCCTGTCCTGTTCTCTCAAAAACTTTATTCTAATAAGGAAAAAAAAAAAGGAAGTCACTCAGGAAGCTATATAGGCTTTTAAAGGGTACAGACCAAGGAAATTAGGCAAGAAAAAGAAACAGAAGGCATGTAGATTGGAAAGGAAGAAGTAAAACCATCTCTATTCACAGAGGACATGATCCTGTATATAGAAAAATCCTAAAGATTTAGGAAAAGCCTTAAAAAACTCTTAAAACTAACAACCAAGTTCAGCAAGATGTCAGGATATAAGATTAATATACAGAATCAATTATATTTCTGTACACTAACAATGAACAATCTGAAAATGAAATTAAGAAAATTCCATTTATAATAGCACCTTAAAAAATAAAATACTTAGGAATAAATTTAACAAAAGTAATGTAAAACTTATGCACTGAAAACTATAAAGCTTTGTTGAAAGAAATTAAAGAAAGCCTTAAAAAAAAAAAAGGAAAGACATTCCATGTTCATGGATTGGAAAACTTAATATTTTTAGAATGGCAGTAGTACTCAAAGTGACCTGCAGATTCACGGCAATCCCTAGCAAAATCCCAGTTGCCTTCTTTACAGAAATTGACAAGCTGATCCTAAAATTCACATGGAAGTGTAAGGGATCCAGAATAGCCAAAACAATCTTGGAAAAAAAAAATTGCATTTCTCATACTTCTGATTTCAAAACTTACCACAAAGCTACAGTAAACAAGACAGTGTGATACTAGCTAAAGATAAACATATAGATCAACTGAATAGAATTGAGAGTCCAGAAATAAACCCATACATCTATGATAAATTTGTTTTTACAAGGGTTCTAAGAGAATTCAGTGGGGGAAAATATTCTTTTTAACAAATGATGGTGGGACAACTGGATATCCACACTGCAAAAAAGAATAGGAAGTGACTTCAAATGGGTACAGTGTTTCTTTTTGGGTGATAAAAATGTTCTGAAATTAGGTAGTGGTATTAGTTTCACAACTCTGTGAGTATACTAAAAACCACAGAATTGTGCCTTTTAAAAGTGTGAATTTTATGGTATATGAATTATATCTCGATAAAAAATATAAAACAATTCAGTCTTTCAGTATTAAGCATCCTATGATTTATTTACTTTCTATAAATTCTGCAGTTAGTGCTAGTCA